TAACCGGTTCTATGTGTGCATGGCAGCCTTTGAGACCCGTACCGTTTGTAGCATGGGCCGTTGTATTTTTTTTTTTTTTTATTAGGTATTATTATTAGGCCCGGTGAAAAATGGTGGTCGGTTGGGTGCCACAAGCGGTCTGGTCCAAAATGTAAACACAGCGGTGAATCATATAGCGCTGGATAAATAAGGGATCCTTTGCGTATACACTATACATGTACATGTACAGCATACCGCGTACTCGTCCCAACTGACTCATCTATGGGTGGGCGTAATGGGGTGGCCTTGGCCACGCCACAATACTGCATCATGGGCTGTGCGCTGTGGTGCACCCACACACTCTGATCCAGGGACCTCAAACCTCTGCCCACCTTCAGAGCAGCTTCAACCTCAGCCCCCCCCCCGCATGAGGGGGGGGCTGAGGAATCTGGGCTGGAGGAGCCGGCTGGAAATCTGGGGCGCGTGCACCCGATAAAATAAAGCTCCCTTTGCGGATCAAAAGTGCGCCTGAACTAAATAACCAGCAGAAAAATGGCGCCGTGTAACTGGATGACCGGTTTGACCGCCAAAAAGAATGCATCAATAAACTGTATCTCCTTCAAAGGCACCAAGTACAGGACAAGTGCAAATACCAGTCAAAGAAGGCAGCCTCAGCTAAATGTTTATTGATCTTGTTTCTGCTTTTCTTGGGCTGTGCAAGAGTGATTTGGTTGTCATCGTGCATGTCGTGTAAACATTTCCTCAACGGCTACGGGCTAGACACTGCTATGCTGTATACCTAGTTTTACTCTGGTGATATAGTCACAACTCACACCATCACGATGGCAAAATGTGGACAAAAGAGCATACGAGTACAAACCAGGCAGCAGCAAATTTTAACTAGCAGACGCTTGTCGAAGTCAATGATATGTATAATGCTATAGTATTTACCCCTTCAGGTGTTTCACCCCAAGCTGCAATGCATCCCATAGATTATAGGTCGCAGTTTTTAGTTAGGCGCTAGTCATGGTAATTAATAGTTCCACAATATCGCATATTCTCAAAATGGACATTTAGGGTAAACATTCACTTGTCGGTTACCGGAAAAATTCTCTTCATTCCTTCCGGCTTCAGCGATCGGCATAACAAGAATTATGTAGGTACCTACTAAAAACCAACATGAAATGCCCATCAAGCTAAAAGACCCAAGACTTTATGTCTGAGTCCTCCTCTGCCCTCTGCCCCACCCCACAGCATGGCCCTGTCGCTATGCGACCACGGTTCGGTGGTGTGTGTGTGTGGGGGGGGGGGGGGCACTCGCGGCCCGCGCCGTCACCGCTTGGCAACTTATCAGAAGTCGCCGCCGGGGCCCGGGGTCATGGGTCACGTGAGCGCCGCACGTGCGCGCCGCTATACGCGAGGAAAGAACACCTTCCTGGCGTGAGGTCGATAACCGAGTCGTATACCGCTAACGGTATACGAACGATTCAGGTGTTCGATCGTCAATGAAGATGAAATGACTTCTACGAGTACCTATAACGGAGTTGCTATTTGCTAAATCCATTGCTTTGACACGATGCTGTGCCTAGTGCCTTGTGGCTTGTATTATTGTGGTTGTTATTTTTATCTTTAATAAGGAGATACCGAATACCATACGTCTATCCCAGCCTGGGCTGCATTCGTCTGAGGGGCCATCTAGATTCTAAGCCACAAACTCATTGTCGAGGTGAAAAGGTCATGACTCCAGCCAGCCCATCTATTTGATGTCCTGGACTAACTCGATCAACGAGAGAACCATCAAGACGATTGACGGGGTCGCGGGGCTAGACGGGTGCGGGCAGTTGTGTTGATTAGGTCATATCATATCCGATACTTTCGGAACCACACGACATTGTCTGAACGCCACTCCGAAAACAAATAGGTACCTACCTATAAAAAGATAAAAGTAGCGGAGGCAGAATTAATATTCAGTCGCATTAAAGGAAAAGGGCCACCTTTAACATGGGGATTGAAACTGAGATAGCCATCTTGTAGCCCGTGTCCGAAAACCCTCCAGTCTATCTCCTTACGGCCGATTTCGGCTTCCATTCGTAGGTATCGGCAATTTTAAAAGAGGAATGCGTCCTTATCCCAGGAATGCGTCCTTACCCTGTAATACAGCCACCCGCGGCGAGGCTTTGGTTTTTTTACCAATCAGCTCCAATCAGCTCAGCTTTAACCAATCAGCTTATCTGACACAATCCGACGAGTCTGTCTTCTGAACGCTGATTGGCTTGAGTGTGACGTCATCGCTATGCCATCATACAGTAGGTGCCGTAGAGAGCGTAGAGAGTATCAACATAGTACCAATATGTTAAATAGTTTTAAATACTTTTTTGCGAATTGTGCACTTCTGGCACCAGTTTTAAAAAGAAAATGAAAAATAATAATGTCAAAATGAAAAAAACAACGATATCTTCATATTTCACGAAGGTGGCCCTTTTCCTTTAAAATGTCCAACGAGCGAACAGCGCGATATAGGTAGATGCGATCATATCATCATATACTGGATAATGAGCTTCAACACTCGTAACGAATCGAGCCCTCGAAAGGTACCTAAAAACTTACATTTTAATTGAATGTGGCACGCACCTAATTATGATTTTTTGACGTTTTTAAAGCCATGATAGCTAAGTGTTGCCTGTTGGTGTTGTAATCAGAGCAATGCCGTTTAGGCCAAAGAAAATTAGCAAGCGAAACTCGAAAGTCGAAAGTAGAAACGTTTCAACCATTAAGACGGTGTAAAAATTGAGGTAGGCCGCGGTGCCCATAGAAGTGCAAAACCTTTTTTTCTGTATTGGTATTTGAAATTAAGTGTTAACGACATAATCACACTTTTTGAGCAATCAGTTTCTGAATTGTTCAGCGGCTGCGGATAATTATTTCTAAATGCCGATTTTTTATCCGTTTACCACCTCCAGGTTGCCAGGATATGACGTGGACATTAACATTTATTTTCTGTATCTCTTAAGCTGTAGGCCTGACAGCTCTTCTCGCGAAACCTTTTTTTGGGTCAAAAATGGCAGAAATGACGTCACTCTGACGTCATTAGCGGCCAACCTATCATAGCCTTTGGAAAATGTTTGGTCACAATGTGCAATAGCTATTCACGGGAGGGTACTGAAAGTTTGATGAAGATCGGCGCAGCGGTTCTGGAGATATATCGAAAAAAATAAAGGGGGGGGGGGGCAAAAAATGCCCCCCCCACCGCCTGGAAGGTTAAACATTGGTGGAAGCAAATTCTCTTAATTCTCATAATTCTCCACCATACTGCTCACTCATCACACTAGTGGATTCATTGGGGGGGGGGGGGGGGGCGGGGGGGGGAGCGTTGGGGCACTTGTTCCTCCCGTTACCCAAGGATGACGTAATTTCACCGTTTTCCTCGAATAGAAAGAAAACTATAAGAAAGGTAGGTATGTAGTCAATTCCCCCAGCAAAGCGAATGGAGGCGATATCCAGTACATTCTTTTTTACTGGAAGACCGTTCAAAATCAGAGGGTACGATTTTATCGGCCGTTTCGAAGATGGTAACCTCAGGTGAGCTCGGTGACCTTGCTCACATGCTCACATGCTCACCTATTGCATCCATTCTATAACATCAGGAACTACTGGGCCGATCGAGATGGCAGTCATTCTATAACTCAGAAACCACTGGGCCGATCGAGCTGAAAACACCACCAGTCGACCAGCAGCCGTTTCGAATATGGTCGGACCTCAGGTGACCTCGGTGACCTCTAAAGGTCAACTTTACATTGTCGCCTATGGCAACCATTCTATAACTCAGGAACTACTGAGTACTGGGCGGATCGAGATGCAAACGCCACCAGTCGATTCAGCGTATGCGATTTCGTCTGCCGTTTAAAATGTTGTGACCTCAGGCGACCTCGGTGACCTTGGGAGATTGAAAACCTAAAGGTGACCTTTCGAGGTCACCGAGGTCACCTGAGGTCACCATATTCGGAGCTGCTGGTGAAATTGTATACGCTGAATCGACTGATGCTGTTTTAGCCTCAATCGACCTAGTAATTTCTGAGTTAGGTATAGATTGGCTGCAATTGGCAAAAACGTGAATTTGACCTTTGCAGGTCACCGAGGTCACCTAAGGTCACTATCTTCACAAACGGTCGATAAACTCGTACCCCCTGATTCGAATGGTGTTCCGTTCGTCCCGATCGGTCCAGTGGTTCCTGAGTTATAGAGTGGCTGGCAAGGGTGGCTATCGAGTAGTGTTGTACCCCCCCCCCCCCCGCCCGGAGTGTCTCATGACTCAAGTCCCACTTTTCTTTTTCCGCCAGCGACCAGAGCTGTAGTAGAATAATTAAATTCACCCTTATAGTCTTTCCGTGATTCCAAGCTGGCAAGCAATGTGCTCACTGAACTCTATAATGTATGTGCTACCTATAGGGTAATTGATTAATTACATGTTACAACACTATAGATCAGTATCAATCACCATCTTCGGACAATAAATCATACCACGGGGTGCTACTACCCCGTCATCTATACAGGAATTACTGCATGAGCGATGACAGCGTCATCTGTGCTCGATTTAACTTCAGAATCCATGCATTACTGTAGCTTAGAAAACTTTCCCACATAATAGATCAGTTAAATGTCGGAAGTCCTATTTATAGTCACCGTGGGAAGTCCTACATATTTTTAAAGTACTCTTCATAACATAAATATTTCAACACCGAACTAGCATGAAGAATTGATAAAACAAAATTTGCGGAGGCTTGGAATCGTACTAAAGAGGCCAAATCAGAGGTATGATAACCAATGAAGCTAACATTATTTTATTTTAGCCGTATATAAAGTGCATACAATTACTAGACCTTGAAAAAAAACAGTAAGATTTGTTTAATTTTGCTGATATCTTGTATCACTCATATTGTTAACAAATATTTTGGCACGCATTAGACACCAATGCGATTTAGCTGCCTATTCCCTCAGTAGGAAGATTCATTAATGGCGTGCTTACTACTATTTTGCCGCAGTAGTCTGAACACGCAATGCTCAAGTGACAAAGCACAAAGCGCCTGCGTTCTATTTTCACTTGTCTTGTAGGTAGCCTGCAGGTGCCCATAAGCTGGTCCAAGGGCTGGCGCTGCAGCTGTGTGAAAAACCTTCTAGAAATAACAGACTTGTAGCTGCGTAGCTTGAACGTTTAAAGAACGTAGCAAACGGTCTGTTGAGGCTTCAATCAAGTTTTCACTTCAGCTTGTGATGAATGAACTGACTCCAGAAGAGGTAATACACTAAGACAAAGCTTTTTATTGTTCAGAATTTTACCTGACTGTAGAATTATTAGAAACATTTATGTACTATGTGGCACTCATTGAAGGTAAATGAAATAAAGAGGATAGCCAAATTGCAAAATATTGGATATTGATATTGATATCTATGATGTTGACGAGTTGACACTCAGTGGCTTAAACACATCAGAAAGGAGCAAAACTACCACAAAATGACCTACCTCCTTCCAGTTGAGACAAAAATGTGCACACCAGTTTTGACAGAGCAGAGTCTGTTTAGTTAGGTAGGTATCACTCAATGAGATTATGCGGGCTTTGCTAATTTCTGAGCTCCGGCTTGTGGGCCAGCCCAGCTGTGGTGCTGCATTGAAGTAGGAGGTGATGGTTTCTGTGACATTAATAAGTCAGATTCATTGGGATTGGTGGTTATTTGGTAATCATCCCTTTAACCATTTTGATTATTCATTTGTGCTGAATCCTGAGTTTCTATCATAATAGTGCTAATTGATTTTAAATTTTAGAATAATGGACTGTCATTAGACTAGGTCTATTCTTACATCCATTTCATTTTTCCTTGCATTGCATTGCAAGACAAAATCCAAGCTTTATTGTGTGTGGGCTCAGTTTGATCTATAATTTTAGCCTGATTGTTGCCAGTTTCAGTGAACTTTGCCCCCTGGTAAGTGTGGCTAGCTACTTCTGCTGCCATACTTTGCAGTTTGTTCCCCAGCTACACTCCTGTGCAGCATATTAATAAACTAAGGCAACTGCTGGATTACTTGTAACAAAGCAAGTAACCAATAATATGTGAACTATTGCACCCATTTTATTGGTGCAGTTTTAGTTTGTTTTGACCAAACTGGACATAGGTAACATTGATTTTTAAGTGCAAACACATTTCAACCTGTTCAGCTATTTCACAGGAATCCACACAAGTTTGCATTAAGTGATTCTGACCTGTCAACATCAGAAAAAACATACTCTGATTTTGATATTTTCAATTGGTGCCTGAGCAAGTGAGCTGTTGGCCAATCTTGCAAAACCATGCAAGCCTGAGTAGTTCATATGGTCTCCTTTGCATCATAGCTTTGCATTGGTCAGGTGCAAGACCATGGCAGACAGATGAAAGATCATTTCAATAGTCAGATGTTCTTGAAATTCTTCAGAATTTTCTGTTCCACTTGGTTTCCTAAGTTCCTATTTTCTTATTTTTTATTTTTTTAGAAGAGCATGAATGCCATCAGGATCATATCAGTGCATATGAAATCAATGTATCGAACCTGTTGTCAAATCACCTGAGGTCATCATTGGTGACCTTAACCCTCGCCGGCACAGGGGGGGGGGGGTTGATGCAACCCCCCTAAGGTTTTTCGCGAATAACTCGCGTAAAAAGCGGCCGATCGCGACGAAACTTTCAGTACCCTCGCATTGATCAATTTTACACCTACCCTGAAAATTTCATGACCCTGACCCCAATGACCTTTGACCTGTGACCTCTTTTCTGTGACCATGTTTGGCCGAAATCGCGGTTCGGCGCATGTCGGCTCGCATTAGCCGCGCGTTTGCAAGCTTTTCGTGGTTTCAAACGTTCAAACATGTGATTTGATGTTGCTGCCATGCATTAGGGTGGGTGTCAAGGTCACCTGAAGGTCAGGTCAGGTCATTGACCATTGGTGACCTCGGGTGACCTCGGTTCACTTTTTCGAGTTTTACATGTTTCTAGGCTAGTTTTTGGAGCTGAATTCGAATTTAGCAACCATTTGAACATTTACGAAGTAGTTTTGGTGCCTTCGTAACATGTTACGAAACTGTCCGAGGCGGTTGACACGTATTACGAATACCCGTCACAACCCCTACCGGTTGACCTGACCTGACCTGACCCGACCTGGTCTAAATGCTTAAAGACATCATCTCTGATCAAAACTAACACGATATTCGTGATCAGCACCCCGGAAAACCACATAGCAGCCACACTTTACGACTTTCTAACAGGTCCCGATTTTCCCGGTTTTCGGGTCATTGACCTGACCTGGAAGGTCACCCGATGACCTAGGACCTTAAAATTGGGTATCATCGGCTTCCTCTCGTGACGGGCAACACGCTCGTTTTTTCCGCGAAGCTCTAGCTCGATCAGGGGCCAAACGCGAGGGGGGGGGGGGGTCGTACCGACCCCCCTCCCCCCCTGTGCCGTCGAAGGACTCAAAATGGCCTGTGCCGGCGAGGGTTAAGGTCTACATTCAACTTCACCATCTGTTCATCACCATGCACAATATTTTACTCAACACAGGTTAATGTAACAAGCATGATAGTGCCAAAATTATTGCTTTGCTATCACTTACTGGTAGAGCTTTCACTAAAAACTAAAAACTTGACATTCAAGACATTTGTCTGACTTCCTACATCATCTGCTAACCTGAGGTCATGAAATTATTGCCTTTATAAATTCCTAAAATAGTAACATTTCTTAGGTTTCTCGCGAAGCTCTAACTGCTGTGTTAGGGGCTAAATAGGGTCTATCACCTTGTACCAAAGAAGGCAGCAAGGTTCACCCTCGCCTAACCTGCCAGTTTTTTTCCTATCGGTCGAGAGGATGGGGACTGAGCACGACATATTCGGCGCCATTTCGGCTGTAATTAACCCTCGCCCGTATTGGTGTTTTGCCACCCGCCAACATAAGGGGGGGGGGGAGCGTTGGACCCCCTGTCGTTCGGCCCCTGCCCCCTGATCGAGCTAGAGCTTTGCGGAAAAAGACGATCGTGCTGCCCGCGACGAAAGGAAGCCGATGATACCCAAGTTTAAGGTCTGAAGTCATCGGTTGACCTTTCAGGTCAAGTCAATGACCCAAAAGTCGGAAAATCGGGACCTGTTAGAAGTTAAAGCGTCGTAAAGCGAGTTTGTTAAGTTTCTTCGGGTTGCTGATCATGAATTTCATGTTAGTTTTGATCACAGATGTTTTCTTTATGCATTTAGGCTAGGTCGGGTCGGGCCAGGTCAATCAGTATGCGGTCTTCCAGGTATTCATATAAGTTGTCAACCGCCACTAACAGTTTCGTAACATGTTACGAAGGCACCAAAACTTCTTCGCAAATGTTCAAATGGCTGCTAAATTCGAAATCAGCTCCAAAAAAACTAGCCTAGAAACATGTAAAACTCGAAAAAGTGAACCCAGGTCATCAAAGGTCAGTGACCTGACCTTACTTTCTCATGACCTTGACACCCACCATAATGCATGGGACCAACAGCATTTCTGATGTTTGAACGTTTAAAACCACAAAAAAAAGACAGCAAACGTGCGGATACTGTGAGTCGACATACGCTGAATTGCGATTCCGGCCAAACACGGTGTCGAGAAATAGGTCACAGGTCAAAGGTCATTTGGGTCAGGGTCATGAACTTTTCAGGGTATGTGTAAAATTGATAAACTCGAGGTTACTGAAAGTTTCGTTGCGATCGGTCGTTTTTTGCGCGATTTATTCGCGAAAAACCGAGGGTAGGTTCGTTCCACCCCCCCCCCCCTATAAGTGCGAGGGTTAAGTTACAGCTTCGCGGAGAAGCTAGCGTGTTTACCGTTACCATCGCAGTGACTGGTATCCTTTTTGAAGGTCTGAGGTCATCCTGTGACCAGTGAAGTCAGAAGACAACTTCAATGTTGTGCTCCGATTTTTGGTCAATAACATTGCGGAAAATCATTGTACCTAGTGCAACGATTTGCACCATAGCGTCTGTCTGGTTAAGCCGTGGTGAACTATATGCGTTTTTGTTATTGATAAGTTAACTTCGACGTTGGCTTCACGTCAAGGTTAGTTTGAACCCACTCAGAGACCAGATTTACCAACGTTGAAATTGCTGGCCACAGTTGTGTGTAGGTGTGAAGACGCCTCTGAACCGGTGCAGGTGTATTGTTTCACAGCGAGCGAGCGTGGCGTGGACCCAGTAGAGACTGACGTGGCCCCGCACGGTCCGGCCGGGAGCCGCCGCCGGACCGTGCCCCGAGGGCACACACGGTCGTAGAGATGCAAACCCCAGGTACAGACTGGGGATGCACACCACCACAGTAGGTAAAAGTCGGCCACGAGTTTTGCCAGTCACGCGAAAAAGAAAAGAAAAGGAGTATGTGTAAAATCATAGTAGCTAGTCTAGTTACCTATATTTTTCACTTCAGCGGCTATTTTATTTTTCGCGTGGCTGGTGAAACTTGTGGACGAGTTTTAGGAATAAAAACAACCGCAATCGGCAATGCCTATCGAAATCGGACACGGTCCGTCTCACTCACTGACTTCCACTGGCTGCGGCTGCTCCCACCACTCATAAGACTATCTCGGCTAGAATTCTCATAGATCGTGCGCCGGAGCGACTCGAACCCGGGCTCTCACTACCTGGAGTCCAATGATCTACCCACTGAGTTGCGTGCCAGGCCTTCTGTTGTATGAATCTCCCTCCCGTTCATTATGGCCATTTAGATTGTTCTTCATGAGCTAGGGCGCGTAGCTGTCAGGCTCAAGCGTCCGACATTTAATATTTGTGTATAACACAGTTTGTCCTTTTGTGCCGTCAGATTGGGCGGCGGGGGCTGGCGCGTTTTTAATATTTGTGTATAACACAGTTTATATTTTGTGCCGTCAGATGCGGCGGCGGCGGCTGGCGCGTTTGGCGCCGTCCGCGCCGCCCGCTGCTGCAGCCGGAGAGAGCGTCCCCGACCCGCCGGCCGGGACCGACCCAGAGACCGGTCAGGTGCCAGGTGAGGTCACGGAGAGGTCAGGTGGGGGACTGACAAACGGGTGGATGGTGGACAAACGCTGCATGGAATCGGCTACCACTGACCAACACAGGAATGCAAAGGCATCGCATGATTCGTGCATATTGTTTTTTCAAAGTCATTAATTTATAACCAGCAATCTATGTTCAGATTTTTAACTTTCTCGTTTGAAATTGCGGCATTGCTCAATATCTGCTGTCTCACCCAGGCAGGTTATCATATCTTCTGTAGTGGTGGTTCCATCCCACTTCGTTTTCTCGTATTGTTCACTTGCTCTCCTTTCCACTCCGTGTCTATCGGGCTCTGCCCCTGCTGCATTCTAGGTTGGCTGTCTCTCCATCTCCCAGCTCACTCTGCTCTCCTATTTCTCCACTCACCCCCTATCCCCGTAAACAGCGAGCTCTGCCCCTGCTGCTCCGGAGGTGGGCGGTATCTCCCTCTGCCTCTCTGCCTCTCTCCCTCCCTCCCTCCCTCCCTCTCTCTCTCTCTCTCTCTCTCTCTCTCTCTCTCTCTCTCTCTCTCTCTCTCTCTCTCTCTCTCTCTCTCTCTCTCTCTCTCTCTCACACTCTGAACTTTTCCCCCTCTCTTCCGTCCACAGCGAGCTCAGCCCCCGCTGCACCAGAGGTGAGCGGTGTGTCCCAGATGGAGCTGGACGCCGCTCCGCCGACGGTGGCTCCCGTGTCGGCGGACACGCTGATCGTGGGACCGCAGAAGGGCCGTGCCGGTGGCCCTCTGGCCGGGCTCGAGGAGCTGCCCGCTGCCCTGGACCCCATGGAGACGGACCAGCTGGAAGAGAGTGCCACCAAACGGCTCCGGGTCAGTCGGGCGGGCAGGCAGACAGTCTGTCATGAGTTAGTGAGGCGGTCAGTCAGTTCTGCCAGTAGACGGCCGTGCTGACAAACAGTCGCACTGGGGTCGGGAGCTTGATGTCGGTTAATGAAGCTGATTGTTTTTGCTACTATTTTTTTCATTACATTTGGTTTTGCCATTGCTTGTTCACTTGTTCAGTGTTCCTCCATCAGTTATGATCAGTTGAATAATCTCCCGTGTGGCATTTGAAATTATTTGTTTATTTGTTCATTCATTCATTCATTCATTCATTCATTCATTCATTCATTCATTCATTCATTCATTCATTCATTCATTCATTCATTCATGCACTCATTCCTCCATTCATCCATTCATTCATTCATTTCATTCATTGATGTTGTTCATCCATTTAATTATGATTACAGTGATTCCCTTGAAGTTCTTGGTGTTGTCAACTTCAAGTAAAAGCTTTCATTATGGGCTAGAAAATGACCCTAGTCTTCTGACCCCATGTGTGACCGTTCTCCCGCCCCATTATAACCCCATGCATCCGCGTCTCGTCAGCCGTCGGAGCCCTCACCGCACCAGCCGGCCTCGGACCCGGTCCTTCCGACGCTGTGCCGTGTACTGTGTGTGGCGCCGGCGGACGGGCCGCGACCGGAGGGTGCCCCTCACCAGGTGACTGTGCCGGCTGATCAGCTGACCGCTGCCGCCGGTACCGAGGACTGGGTGGACCAGGTGAGAGTGACGCTGCTGTGTTTGCAAGTTTTTTTTTTTAAAGACTGGGATGGGGCTGGGGAGTGGGTATACACAGGGAAAGTGTTGTCTGCTTTCTAGCTAGGACGACCGAGCTATCAGATTCACCTTATAAACTGGGAAGCGATGCATTTCTAGCTCTACTTTATGGCTAATCATTAAATACGCTGCATCCTAGCTCTATTTACCTTCCTACTTCGTGTTGTCAAATGCCTACCGTATTTCCCGGTGGAACCAGTGATATCTGTAATCGTCCGCGGCTGGCAATGTGTCTTGCTACATTGCGTATATGTGTATTGTCACTGTGTGCTGACGGTACGAGTGACGGTCTTCCTTTGTTTCCAGGTCCTGATGGAGGTTCTGGTGGACATCAGCATGGCGTCAGCACCTCTCCCCTCCCCCGTACCTGACCAGAAGCGTCCCGACTACATCCCGACTCCTCCCGCTGCTGCGTCACCGTTCCCGTCGGGATCAGCGGCAAAGACGGCTGACACCTCTGCCGGGGACCGACCGGAGTCGGGAGCCGCGGCGGAGACCCAGTCCAGTGTCCAGTTCAACCTTCTGCTCTACCTCACCGAGTGTGTGGCCAGAGGAGAGGAGGAGATCCGACGAGCCCCCAGAGTGAGTACTAAGGAATATCCTTTTCACTTTTTTGTTCTGCACCGACCTGCGGGCTTTTTTCCTCTGTCCAGGGTTGAGCCTTTGTTTAGGGGTAATTGGTAATCTTGGGGGTAACTGGTAGTGTATTTGGGCTTATGGTACAATTTTGTCTGTAATGGACAAAGTACAGCCTAAATCTGAAACTTTCTGTGTTTGTTTCTCGCCACTGACCTTAAACAAGCATGTGTTTCTGCGTTGCACCTGACCGCTGCACCCCGTCTGCAGTGTGCCCGGTGTTCACTGTCCCGCTGCTCTCACTCGTCTGACCTGACTGACACTCGTGCCACCCTCCCCCTTCCATCAGCGATGCGGCGAGCCGCCTCTCAGCACTGCCCTCGCTGCAGTGCGCGCTCAGGCGGTGCGCTGCGCGGCGCTGGTGCTGCGCGGTCGACTGACGAGCCACCTGGCGGCGGCGCCGGCAGGCAGCTGGCCGCCACTGCTGCGCGCTGCCCTGGAACCGGGACTGCTACCGGCCGGGTTCCTGCCGGAGCTGGTACAGGAGCTGCTGATTCAGGGAGAGGACGCACTACGGCAGGTGAGAGACAGGCTGGGAAAGGCCATACCGTGATGGAGAGGCGTGTCATGGGCCGTTGAGAATATAGAGATGTGTATCGTTCGACCTGGGGGCTAGAAAATACATATCATACACCGTTTTTAATCTAACATATTTCAGAATTCTTTGACCTTTTTGTGAGGCCACATCTTCGCTTTGGAATTATTGAATAACGGAAAAGTTCTAAAACATGAATAGCACTGCACAATACAAAAGACACCGACGAACTTGGTGCCCTCCCCATTGTTGCTCTGTTGCCGGCGGCTTTCGGTACTAACAGTGCGCGCTCCCGCCGATAGGTGGTGCTGCCTGTGCTGCGGCGGCTGCACCGGATGGCTCGCACGGCCTCCATGTCAGAGCCGGATCATGGCCGACCGCTGCAGATTCTGGCCGAGCTGTGTGAGGTGCGCGCCGGCGGACGGCGGCCCGTCTGTGACCTGATCGTCACACTGGTAAGGGCCGCGCTCTAGGAGCGATTTTTGGGGCTGTTATGGTGGTGTGAGTCGCCCCTGGGGCTGCTTTTTGACTGGAGCTAGTAGATCTGGACTGCTATGTCACACTTCTGATGGAAATAGTTTCGGGACTGGTACCTCAGAGTTGACGGAATGAATGGTGGTTCAAACGATACTTACAGAAACTTATGGCACTGGGGTAAATACTGTGCCTGGTATGTCGTCGTAGATCGGCTTGTGTGGTTATGGATACCTTGGCAGTTGGCACACCCCGCTGACCTCTTGCCCCTGTCTTTCCGTGTGTCCCACAGCCGGAGTGGCTGCCGGTGCCCCTATCAGCTGCACCCGGCCGGGAGGTGGCCGCTCTGGCCTTCCTCGGCCCCTTCCTGCGCTATTCTGTGCTCTCAGAGGACGACTGTAAGGTGATCAAGAAGTCTCACGCGGGCGCCACCAACCCGGAGGCGGTACGGATGCTGCACCGCACGCTGCAGCAGCAGCTGGAGATCGTCAGGGTGAGGATGTGGGGAACGGCCGGAAATGGAGGGGAGCCAGGCAGGTATCTTGTTGTGAGTTGCTGTTGTAGTGGTGAACGTTGAAGGAACAGCTGTCTTATGCTTTTGGGTGTTTCGCGGTTTTTGTGTGTGTTATATTCCGATCGTAACAGTGCTGATATACGCCTAGTACGCACATCACATGATTTTATACGACACTGGTGTAACATTATAGAGAAGTAGAAAAGCCTCCGCAGCTTTTGCATCCATCTGTTTCTCAATTTTCACCATTTAACGAACACGACTCTCATCGCCGCCAGCTTACTTACTGTGCCCTATCATCACCTCAAACTGACCCAACCCTGACTCCCCCTCTTCCCCTGTCACCCACAGACACACCAGTTCAACATTCTCCACGCTCTGCTGGTCAACTCTGGCTCCCGGGAGGCCACTCTGACGCTTCTGGCCGGCCTACTAACGGCCAACGAGCGCCGGGGGCAGCTGCACGCTGACGACAGGCTGGTGGCCGGCGACGGACTCATGCTCAACCTGGTCACCGTGCTCATGAAACTGGCCAGCAGGGTGAGTCTTGTTCAGCAGGGAAGGTTTTGGGCTGTAGGACGAGTGTCAGTCAGCGTTGCCGCATGTTGCCGGGGTGGGATGTGGGCTGTAGGGGGTCGGCAGGGGGGGGGGGTGATTCGATGGATGGTTAGGATCATTTACACACAGACAGAAATAAGCTGGCCAATGAGCGTTGGCTTTGAAATGAGCTCGCTCGAATATTCAAGTCAATCCATTCAAGTACTTGACCCAGCTGACATGCAAGCTACTGAATGACATGACAGTTAATGTGAACGTTATCTCATGCTTATTTTGTGTTTTGTTGCAGGTAAAACTGGACAAAGTAGATGTGTGTTTCACATTCCATCCCAAGTTTAGGTTTAATATTGATGGCGAGACGCGAGTGAAGATGACGTCACAGGAGGCTCAAGAATGGAAGGAAAAAATGGGTGAGTGAGTTGCCAGTACGAAACAATCCTTATCATACCATTTGTGGCAATGTGATCTTCTGAAATTACATGAGCTGTCGTCTCATCAATGCTTCGTTTCGTTTTTGCGTATAGTATATTTATTTCCAGGACTGCGTTAGTCTGTGTTTTGTGTTTATGACACCCCTATCTACCGCCAGTGTCTGGTCCTGCTCCGGGGGTGGCCTGGAGCGACCCCACCTTCCACACCGAGTGCTGGTACCTCACACTGCACTGTCATCACCTGTCGATTCTGCCGGCCACGCGGAAATACCAGCACCGACTGAGGGCTATCCGAGACTATCAGAGACTGGTGAGTAAGTGGACGGCGTTGGACACGGCAGCGCACCATGCACCGACTCGGGGCACGTGAAATGACTTCGGTTAGTGTGAACCCTGTAGTAAACTAGTGGTGTGAACACTGAACAGTTTGCTGTTTCGAGGTACCGCTGATGGTTTTCATGTATGTAGCGTGGCGACACATCGTCTTGAATACCAATTACCAATGGATGTCATGGAGATCGTGTCGTCAAACGTTTGCCTTCAGTTCATGCTGGTAGGCTTTCCTTTAGTTTCTATCAACTAGCGAGGCGAATCCCGATGTCACTGTATTTTATTTTCAGATTGACGACCTGAAGAGCTCAGAGGCGCAGTGGAAGGACACTCCGCACGCGGCCAGAAACAAACAAATGCTGGCCAAGTGGAAAAACCTCCACAAGGTAACGCCGTGCTTGACTTATAGTATTTGCTAGCTGCTGGTGTATCAGGCGGCTGGCTTACCTGAATGCTTCTTACTGGATGCTTTTCAATGCCTACTTACTTGAGCCTTCTTTCGAATGGTACTCGCGTCTAAGGCAGAAGTCACGCCTTGATCTCTCAAACCGCTGACGGTCCCTCTGTGGCGATCAGCCATGCCTACTGTATTAGCTTGCCTTTAAGCCACTCTCTAAGCCATCGGCCGTTGTCTCTCCCTGCTGTCCCACCAGCGTCTGAGCGAGGCGGCTCTATCCGCGGACGCCGCTCTACTGGACCCGGTACTGCTGCAGCGCAGTATGTTGTTCTACTCCCACACATGTCAGCTGCAACTGCGTCAGATGGGCGCCCAGAACGGTCAGCTGCCGTCCCACGTACCCGACACGTTCCGCGCGCAGCTCGAGTGGTACATCGAGGACATCGCCGAGCTGCTGCTCTTCACGCTGCAGTGAGTGACGCTAGACGTTAGAGACAACGTGTTAAATGTGGCTCCGTGGAGAGGATACTTGTGGGGCGATATTGATTTGTGACTGGTGAGCCCTGTCCCAACAAACAACGGTTTCTAGGTGTGCAGGAATGTTTTAGTGGGAGAGAGGGTGACATTTAAAGTGTTAATGGTATCCCGCCGAGGATGCCTAGAGGGGGGGGGGGGGGGGGGACGTGTCCCACCTGTTCACTTTTAGTCAGTGAGCATGTCGCCGCTTTAATGTCCTCTTATGCTTCAATACCGATACTGCCGTTGCTTTGTCGTTGCGCGGGTCATCCTTTTCCAGCGAATCGTTCGTTTCACAGCAGGCTTCTCATACCAGCTGCAACCTCAGACCAGCGAATTGGTGCCACCATTTTCTTACAGCGATAGACTGCCGCCGGCTCTACAAGCCGCCGGCGAACCTAGGCTGCCAGCCTCCGATTCTGACCTCCCTTCCCTCGCCCCCAGGCACCGTCCGGCGCTGGTGCGGGACAACCTGGACGACGCCATGCTGGTGTGGCTGCTGGTGCTCTGCTGCTCGCCTTCCTTCTTCAACAACCCCTACCTGGTGGCCAAGCTGGTCGAGGTGCTCTACGTCCTCAATCCTTCCGTCCAGGAGGGCATGGAGGATGTGTTCCATAGAGTCATGGCCCATCCGCTTTCTGGGCCGCTGTCGGTCAGTCTGATGAAGTTCTACACAGATGTGGAGTCGACGGGATCGGCCAACGAGTTCTACGATAAGTTCACCATCCGGTACCACATCAGCATCGTGTTGAAGACCATGTGGGACTCGCCGCGGCACCGGCAGCTCATGATCGCAGAGTCCAAGTGAGTTGACGAGCGGTGAGGAAGTATAAACGGTATTCTTGCTTATGTGAGGGAATGCGACTGAAGTCAAGAGTAACATTTTGGCTAAATATTTCTGATGTAGCCGTATTTGAATGAACGAATATTGCTAAATAAGGTTTTTGATACAATTGGTTATTTGTTTCAATTGGTAGCAATTTATTCAGTTAATGTTTCTCACCGGTTGTGTGCTGATACAAGTCTTGTTTGTCAACCAAGTCTTCCATTTGACTAGGTAAGCTGTTTACGAGCGAGCGAGCGCAACGAGCGAAGTGAGTCTTTTCAATATAACGGAAAAATCTCAGTATGAGCGGCCCGGCCCGGCCCGGCCTGTAACGCTTTTTAGAGGCTTATATCTCAGCAACCGCTGGACCGATTGGCCTGCGGTCTTTTTTGTTGGGTAGCCCCATCCCTTCTACCCCGTAATTTACTACTTTTGATACATCTCAGTGACCGTCGTGGCACGTGCCACGTGAAAAATCAAGGGTGTTCAAGCTGTTTTGCAAAAGTAGTGATTTTGAGAGGCTCATATCTCAGCAGCCGCTTGGGCGATTGACTTGCGGTAATTTTTGTAGGGTAGCAGCATCCCTTCTACCCAAAATAGGATACTCTCGATGCATGTGGGTCACCCCCAGTGCACGTGCAAAATACAACAATAAGAGGTGCCAAATTTGTTCCCATTTCAGTAACTTGGTAATTACTGGGGCGATTTCGCTGAAACTTGGCATACAGGTAGGCACCCACCAGGCAATGCATTCCCATGTGTTGCGGTTAGGGTGCTACTGCACGTGCGCACGTGCAGGGGGCGTTTCCAGATCTCGAGAACGGCTGGGCCGATTGCGCTCAAATTTGGTACACGGTTGGGGACCAGTTAGTAGGGTGCCGTGTAAAAGTCATTTTGGACCCCGTTTGCACGTGCGCACGTGCAGAATGCCGCTTCCAGATCTCAGGAACGGCTGGGCCGATTGCGCTCAAATTTGGCACACCGCTAGCGACCAGTTAGAAGGGTGCTTTGCGCAAGCCCGTTGGAAGCACCCTCTCGCCCTTCCGCACGTGCAGGGCTCACTATCTCGCTCGCTCGTTCTTCGCCCAAAAGGCGTTTTACTGGTTTATCTTCTGTTTATCTTTTACAGTGCTAATCCAATTTTCGTTCAAGTCAATTCACCGCACTTCACCGTTTAAATTACCCAGAATACTACCTACCGGTTTTGAGACGACTCTACCATGGCGACCGTGCTGGCCTTCGCTGCTAACATGCCGCACCTTCTATTGTTCCCAGCACTGGCAAACAGTTCGTCGTGTTCATCAACATCCTGATGAACGACACGACGTTCCTGCTGGACGAGTCTCTGGAGAGTTTGAAGCGGATCCACGACCTGCAGACGGAGGCCGAGGATACCCAGCGATGGCAGGCGCTCAGCCGGGAGGAGCAGCAGAGCCGCACCCGGCAGCTGCACTCGGACGAGTCACAGTGCAGGTCAGTGCAGGGGTGAGGGGAGAGGGGTATGTTTCTTATGGACCGGATCAGGCTTTTAGGACGGATCACGGGGTGGGCTACAGGGGAGGGGGGAAGAAGGGGTCACAAGGCGGGTCACAAACAGGGTATGGGACAGATGAGGTCGCCGGATGGGTCATGATCGAATGAGGGCTTCACTGGCAAAAAAAAAAAACATGGTCCACTGTGCAATGGGTTATCACCAGGCACAGTCTGGTCGGACGGATGAAGTTGTGCGTACCATTCGCAGCCGCGGACGTACGACAGATGTTGCCCGATCACATCAGACTGGCAGGCCCCATCGTGTGACCACTACAGGCTACATCTGACTGCTCCCCTTGTGTGACCCCGTATCCAACCCTCCTCGTCCCCGTGTGTACGACTGACGACTGACTGTGTGACAGGACGTACCTGACGCTGGGCCGGTACACGGTCGAGATGTTCCACTACCTGTGTAACTACTGACTGTGTGACAGGACGTACCTGACGCTGGGCCGGTACACGGTCGAGATGTTCCACTACCTGTGTAACTATGTACTGACTGTGTGACAGGACGTACCTGACGCTGGGCCGGTACACGGTCGAGATGTTCCACTACCTCACCATGGAGATCAAGGAGCCGTTCTTGCGACCTGAGCTGGCAGACCGACTGGCCGCCATGCTCAACTTCAACCTGCAGCAGCTCTGCGGACCAAAGTGTAAGAAGGGTTGGCTTCACAGTGAGGGGTGTAATTTTTTATGTTTGATTTCCGTTAGATTTGGCCTATCAAGGTAGACGTCCCTGAAAAAACGCAAGAGTCCTAAATTGATTTTCGTTACTCGAAAAGGATAAATACAGAAAATTCGCGTATCATCCTCCTTTGGTGGCAACCATGCTGGGCCCAAGTAGCCATTCTTCACGCTCTCGTCTTTTCCTCCCGTTCTTTTTCCTTTAAACGGGAACCTAAACCGGATCATCAGCGTCTTCAACTGTACATCTATAAAAGCAGCCACCCATTCCAGTAGTGGAATTCACAGGAGGTATCCGGTCCTCGTGTCACGTTTTCAGGCAGCAACCTGAAGGTGAAGAACCCGGAGAAGTACGGCTGGGAGCCGCGCCGGCTGCTGGACCAGCTGACCGACATCTACCTCCACCTGGACAGCCCCGAGCTGGCCGCCGCCATCGCTAACGACGAGGTACGTGGGATATACGTGTGGCGCGGTGTCTGGGCAATGAGGGATTCCAGCGAGGATTCCAGCCAAAACCGTGCGTCCTCTTAGCTAACCAATTTATAATAAAGTTTGTGATGTATTTGCCACGTTTAACGTCTTTCGAAGCAATGCTACGTTTTTTGAGCTGCTGGCGCCGTACCCCTTCAACAGTGGGTACAGCGACCGGCGCAGCCCGGGCGCGCCTAACACCGAAACAGCATCAAACAATTACAGCTGCAGCGCACCGCCGCACAGCCATCACGTGATTGCGACCAGTCCACCCACGCACAATGTTCAGTATACTGTAGCACATCATGTGACCAGTTGTCCCCTAACCTTTGACCTTCGCTCGCCTTCCGTGCGCCCCGCAGCGCTCGCTGCGACCGGAGCTGTTCCGTGACGCCGTCAGTCGACTGGAACGGAACGTCATCAAACCGCAGCCCAAGATCAACGCCTTCTGGGCGCTGGCCGAGAGGAGCCTGGAGATCCGCGCCAAGAACGCCCAGAAGGCAGTGGAGTTCAGCGACGCGCCCGAGGAGTTCAAAGGTGGGGAGGGGTGGGAGAGGAGCGAGGATGGGGGTGGGGTGCGCAGTGGACTTGGGAAATGAGGGAGCGAGATGGGATGGTAATGGTCAATGGACGATTTGGGTTGCAATGCGACGATGTGAAATGGTGTAAAATGGTGTGAGATGGAAATATGGGGTAAATGGGACGGGGTTTTCAAGATGCACGTCGAGATTATTTCCGGTTCGCTGGTCTGTATCTAATACCTAGCCGAGTATTTCTTCAGCGTTCTAATTCGGAAAGTCTAGGCAGCAACTGTTCATACTTTTAACTTGTATAATGTGGTACACTGCACGCTGCCGTCGGGAGGAAAAAAGCCGTATCTGGGGCACTTTTTCGAATTGAAAATTGTTCAGGAGAGGCAAAAACGCGTTTTTTGTTATAAAATTCGTTAACTTTGCTCAATAACGAAACAAAACATACTGCAGTGATCGGAAAGAAATTTTACATCCAATGAAAGTGGTTATAAAAGGGAAATTATTTTAACCTAAAAGCAAAAGGCGAAAAACTTTTTTGCTTCCAATTCAACCCCGAGTTTGCGGAATCTTTCTTTCACGAAAAAAGCCGTATCGTGGAAGAAAGCCGCATCGTACGAGACACCTGAGCAATACTGTCATGAAAAAAGCCGTATGTCTGATACATTGAATAACTGATCGGGAATAAAGCCGTATCGCCATTTTTGTTTAATCATATTGTTGTCAAAAAGCAGTATCATCGGTGCATTTGTATTGACAGCGTATTGACTGTTGGTAATCATAAGAGTACTAAAGCAGTTCCGCTGCTGGTTCCGTTCCACTGCTTCAGCTCTCAAGTATGGATATTTAATTGAACGTTCGATACAAAAACAAACATGATACCCACTTTAAACTACATCATTATTGCATAATCGCATTATTGTCGTAACTTTAGGCTCTTGGATTCTGATTGCGCAGGGTGCCATCAAAAGACAGCTTGACCAACCGACCAGGGACGTAGCCAAGGGGGGGGGGGCACAGGGGCCATGCCCCCCTCTAAACGCGAAAAAAAAAATAAAATAAAACTTTTAAAAAATAACCCCAGCTGCACCACACCCCAAAAGATAGTGGGCCAAATCCAAGGAGTTTTCCTTTTCTGGAGGGGCACGACACTAGGCCGCGACCTGTGGCCCCTCCCTGAGCAAAATCCTGGCTACGTGCCTGCAACCGACAAGGGGAATCAAGAATGCTGTCTTTTTACGGTGCTTCAATTTTCGATTACACTGGACTCCAGTTAATTCTGAGCCACCGATATATTCGGAGAGATGAGTGTGCCGGTCTGCCGCTGCGCCGAAGCCACGGCGACAATGTCGAGAGAACCGAGATAGTGTAGTTTCCCATCGTCGATCTTCAGACCTCAAAAGTCAAAGCACTTCAAGGGGGCAAGAGACGATGAGTGGGAATGTTGCTGCTTAGCTGGACACAATGTTCCCGGAAAAGGGACGCTGTTAAGTCACGTGGTGCGCAGCTACAAGCACGGAACCGCCCGGCTCCTGAACCAAAATAGAGGATGGTGTAAGAACTTCAGGAATTCCCGTAAAGAAACTGCATCTACAAAGCCTGTGCGAAACATCTAGGGCGACAGCACTGTGCCGTGGCTGAGGGTGTAAGCAAATGCCGCCTCATTGTCGGAGATCGCTAGACTGCTGACAGCTCCACACGTCTGCGGGAACGCCCTTTAGAGGGCGCACCCTCAAAAGGCCCCCCAATGTGCACTCGTATTCACAGGGCTCTGATTATAGCGCCTACTGCAACAGAGCAGAGGGCTATTCAGTACGCCTTGCTGCATCCTCCACCGGCCACAGCTGTGCTGGTAGGCTCTGGGCAGCTGCCCGTAGAATATGACAATGTTGGGCTTGTGTGGGTGCTACAAGGTAGCCTAAATTTCCAATATGATTGAGCATCATGGGTATGAGGGAGCCGGAAAGAAAACGGTAAAGTCATTGACCCGGAATGGAAGTGACAGGGGATGACGGTCCCAAAGATACATGGGCGTGGTCACAATATCACAATGAATGTGACGAGGTTGGCAATAGCAATCGACCTTTCACGGTATTCAACTATATCTTCAACGGTTTACAAAGATTGTAGGTCGTCGTACTAAGCGTGCCGGCTACGAGCTGCATCTCTATGATGATTACGGGTCGAACTTAACATGATGCTATTTTGGTTGTGTGGTGGGGTGGGGACAGGGAGGCCAAATTAATCATGGGGGAGGCTAGGTCGGGTATTTTTTGTTATTGAAATTTTAAACGAAGCTGGAGAAAAGAACGGTCGGATAATACTGGCGGTCCCGGCTGGTTAGCACATCAAAATACTGAATGCCCGGCACCCTGCTGACACCACCGAGCTGGCAAAGTTCTGTTGGCTTCAAACTTTTCAAGTTCACTCCCTATTTTATTTCAATTAAAATTCCCCTATAAATGGTCACATATTGCTACGATCACGTAGCATGTTTGTGTAAATGTTCAACTGTTCCGTCCAGGATATGCCGAAGCCATGCTAAATGAGTAGATACGGCTTTCTTCCAAACTGCCTGGACCAACGATTCGGCTCATATTTCACAGGCCACCATCAAATAAAAGCCGTATCTACAATATACGGCTTTCTTCCTGACTTATCAGTTCCACATTCTTTGTTTGAAATTTTGTATAAGTGCCGTATCTGCCGAATTTAAGGATACGGCTTTCTTCCTGCGTGTTTTGCTATCCCTGATGTAACAAATCCGTTTTTGAATTTTTATATTATATATAATATTTTCATTTTTGAATGTACACACGTTTGAGCAGTACCATTAAACGCATCATGAAAAGAGCTTTCCAACGATATCAAAAACGAAAAATCGATAAAAATGTGACTTACGGCTTTTTTCCTCCCGACGGCAGCTGACGATTGACCGTTGTATATTGTCGAGCTTCGCTCGAAATACATACAGTTTTATCCATATTGTGCTGCTGGTATTGTCGGACTCTGTGATGCTGACGGCCCTTCTTAGACCCTCTGATTGAGGCTGCTGTGATTTCGACGGTCCCCCTTCCCCCAGACCCTCTGATGGAAACACTGATGGAGGACCCGGTGGTTCTGCCCTCCAGTAAGGTGACTGACAGTCCCTCTCCCCCCTCAGACCCTCTGATGGACACGCTGATGGAGGACCCGGTGGTGCTCCCCTCCGGTAAGGTGACTGACCCTCTCTCCCTCCTCAGACCCTCTGATGGACACGCTGATGGAGGACCCGGTGGTTCTGTCCGTTCCCCTCGGACCCTGTGTTGTTGTGTAACTCACGGTCCCCCCCCTCCATCTCCCCCTCAGACCCTCTGATGGACACGCTGATGGAGGACCCGGTGGTTCTGTCCGTTCCCCTCGGTCCCTGTGTTGTTGTGTATTTCACGGTCCCCCCTCCATCTCCCCCTCAGACCCTCTGATGGACACGCTGATGGAGGACCCGGTGGTGCTCCCCTCTGGTAAGGTGATGGACCGGCCGGTCATCACCCGACACCTGCTCAACTCATCCACCGACCCGTTCAACCGGCAGCCGCTCACTGAGGATATGCTGGTTGATGGTGAGTTTTCAGCGTGTGCCAGGCCGGCCTGAGGTGTTCCGCGCTCCAAGACGGGAACCGGGAGCTTCCTTTAGGGAACGAGGAGGGGAGTATAAGATATGACCGAACATAGATACCTGCAGCGGGAGCGGATTTCGGAAGGCTGTCTAGTTATGGTCCGGTAGTTCGCGACTGATGGCCTGAAAGTATGTGAATTGTATTCCGACTTTAGGGCCTGATTATGATCGGATGTTTTTTAGTCATTGACACTAAATGGCACGTGGGAAGTGGCCAGTGGCTGGTAGAATTGCCACACGCCTCCCTCTCAGGACTGGCCAGGACTTTTTACAGGCCGCCTGATGCTGTTGGCTGATGTATCGTTACCGGTTTCGCGCTGAGACTTGAAATCACCTGCATAGTTACACTCGTACAGGCCATCAGTGCATTGTCGCTATCATGGCGCATCATGGGCGTAGGAACGGCTGGAACATTGTGGGTGCATGGGTGCAGAAATCCAGCCATGGCCAGTGAAGCGGAGGGGGAGGGGGGTAGGGAGGGACACCCGAGCGAAGGCTCGTTGCGAGCTTTGAGGGTGTAAGTACCATGTCGAAAAGGTACCGACCGATAAGTGCAGTTGGAAGCATTGACCCTCGCATGTGTAGGGATGTCGGATGAACCCCCCATGGTTTTTCGCAAACAACTCGCGCAAAAAGCGGCCGATCGCAACAAAACTTTTAGTACCCTCGAGTTGACCAGTTTTACACCTACTTTGAAAATTTCATGACCCTGACCCAAAAGACCTTCGACCTGTGACCTGATTCTCGAGACCATGTTCGGCCTGAATCGCGATTTGGCGTATGTCAGCTCACATCATCCGCGCGTTTCCAGTCTTTTTGTGATTGTAGACGTCCAAACATGTGAAATGATGTTCTTCCCATGCATCACGGTGGGTGTGAAGGTCACCTGAAGGTCAGGTCAGGTCATTGACCTTTGATGACCTCGGTTCACTTTTTCGAGTTTTACAAGTTTCTACTTCCTAGGGTAGTTTATCGGGCTGATTTCGAATTTAGCATCCATTTGAACGTTTACGAAGTAGTTTTAGTGCCTTCGTAACATGCTACGACGCCGTCAGTGGTAGTTGACACCTATTATGGATAGCCGGTAGGACGCCTAATGGTTGACCTGACCTGACCTGACCCGATCTGGCCTAAATGCATGAAGAAATCATCTGTGATCAAAACTAACATCAAATATTCGTGATCAGCACCCCGAAAAACCCAATAACAGCTTCACTTTACGCAGTTCTAGCAGGTCCCGATTTTCCCGACTTTTGGAATATTGACCTGACCTGGAAGGTCAACCAATGACCTAGGACCTTAAAATTGGGTATCATCGGCTTCCTCTCGTCACGGGCAATACCCTCGTTTTTTTCCGCGAAGCTCTAGCTCAATCAGGGGCCGAACGGCAGGGGGTCCGACCGACCCCCCCCCCCTCCCCCTACACATTAGAAGCTGGAAAACGCCGCACACATGCGAGGGTTAATATTGTCAATATTGACTACCGCAAAAAGTAAAAGCGGCCAAGTTAGCCGTTTTCGAAGATATCGGGCTAAAAATTTTGACAGTGGGTCATCGGTTCGATATGTGTTGAATCACATGCTCTATTTCCCTTCTTTTTCAGCACAAATGAAAGTTTTGAAGACCATCACAGTAGCAAATGCTTCGAAAGATGGATAGTAGGCAACATATCCTGAATTTGCCGTGCTTCATGGGAAGTAGTGTTGATGAGAAAAGGGGTTTTTGGTTCAGATTATTGTGGGTGCAGAATACATCGCCTGCACCCACTGGAGAAATATTGTGGGTGCAGCTGCACCCTTGCACCCATGGTTCCTACGCTTATGTGGCGCATCACATTTCTGTGTATCGTGCTTGTTTCTTGATAACCATAATAACCAGTCCATGTCTCCCCCACAGCCACCGAGCTGAAGCACAGAATCCAGGAGTGGAAGAAAGCCAAGCTGGCGGAGATCAAGTGAACTCCTCGGAATCTCCCGTCCGGCCACCCATCCAACAAAGGTGTGTAGTCTCTCAGCCTCCATCGGCCTGGCTTTCTCACTCATCTCACGGAAAAACTCACGGCACTCGCACCTGCCCCGATGTGATGAATGCAGTGGTCGGTGGTGCGGTGTTCCACTCAGTAGCAAAGCTTTATCAGCAGGCTGGTGTTCCGAGAGGTTGTGATGGCCACGCGGCGGGCACGTAGCTTTTTACCTCGTCATAACGTACACATTGCACATAATACGCACATCCCATTGTTGGGGTGTCTTTTTCCACATATTGACTGGGGTCGCGACGGACCCGAGGACGGCTGCGGAGCATCCCCCTAGCGCTGTGATCGGTTGGTGAGCTCTGATCATCAGCTGTGAACTCTGGGGGTCGGGACTCGGGAGTGAGGCTGCTAAGGACGTATGGTTAGCTATGGGCGCCTGCAGCGAGCTAAGGTCTGGTGAGCTAAAGATGTATCAGTGAACTATGGGCGTCGGCAGTGAGGTAAAAACGTCGGCAGTTAGCTCTGGGCGTCACTGGTCAGATGGGCGCCTGCAATGAGCTCCGGTAAGCTATGGACGTCTGTCAAGCTGTGGGGCGTGTGGGCGTCCCCAGTGAGCTGCAGGTGTCTCCCACGCACTGTGATGATCAGCCGGACGTTCAGTTGTACAGTATCAGTGGCGGCAACCGGTGCTCGGTGACCGTGGAGTGCCAGCCGGTCTTCGTAAACTCAATGCGGATCTCTGAGTGTTACCGCTGTCTCGGAACGGGGCACAGTGGTCGCTGTTCTTGCGGCCAGCAGGTCGCGGGGACAGACTGGCGGCAGGTCTGGTGACAGGGCAGGACTGTGCCGACAGCGGACAGTGTGTGACTGTCTTGACAGATAGCCAATGGACATTGGATGTCGGCCCGTCCAACGTGTGTGCGCTGTGGCTCGCGGACGCCTCGTGTGTAACCGGTCCGACTCGCTACCAGGGTGGGCAGGCACACCACCGACGTCGACCTGGCTCTCTGTGTGTGGGGTGACCTCGGATATATAATTTATGGGTGTATCGTCGGTCGGCCGGTCCAGAGCTGTGCGCGGCCCACATATCGAGTTACCGACGCGTGCGCGAGTGTTGATTGTACAGAATCCGTTTGTATACTACCTGTCATGACACCACTGGTGAATGTGTTATAATATACTTATGTATGAAATATCATGGAGTCGTTATGTGAAAAGTCAGGGCTTTGACGTTGGCTTCCGATGTGATTGCACGTTATATTACGAAAATCACAAAATACACTCCACATTCAATCATCATAGCTTTATGGTATCGCTATAAATATTCACGGTCCAGTGAAATGACACTTTTCGACTCGACGTAACTCGCCTCGACTCAGCGCACAAACACACACGACCCGCACGCCTCAGGACTGCCTTCCTTTCTCCAAACATCTGCACGCATATGCAAACATTGCAACAGATGCACAACGTTTGATAAAAACACGTGGCGCACAAAGCCACGTTACCCCTCCCCCGCTGTAGGCCATACGTCCGTCTGGTTCGTCCGGCCTGCAGCCGACTTAAGTGAAGCGTCTAAGCCGGTCCGTCAGGCAAAGCGTGACGGGCAAGGAACACTTGGGCAAACTATCATCAGACGGTGTCTTCTAACTTGAAGGGGCCGTCACCGCCGCACACGGTGACTCACTGGCGGTGACGGCCTGATGACGGTCTGATGACGCTCGATGACGTCCCCATGACGTCCTGATGACGTCCGATGAAGGTTCGAGCTGGAGTCCGACGCCAGGTCACCGCCGCTTTCCGGCCTCTCGGAGATTGTGGTACCAGCGTATCAACGGCTCGCGCTTCTCCCAGATGTGTTGCCGGCCGTGCATTGCCCAGTAGCTGTCGGATAAGGCAGACGGGGTCAGGTCATGTCAGGTTACTTGTGGCACGGGCATTGTCAGGTCACAGGTCACCTGACGGTGCACAGACTGACCCGGTGATAAATCGTAAACGCCATGGCGGTCGAAAGAAAGTAAATTTGGTCGAAATAGCGCCAGTCGTCACCACTGGAGATTCCAGATTCCATCTCTTTCGCAGGTCATGAATATGATACAAGGGTATGACAGCCACCCGCCCCATTCCCTTCCCACTACTCACATTCCGAACAGTGTGCCTCCCAGATGCGCGGCATGATCAAACAGCTGCCACCGAAGCGCGGCACCCAGCACGTCGAAAGCCACCAGCGCCTTGATGGCGGTACCGGCAGTGAATGTCAGCATGGGCAGCAGCACGATGGCCAGCCGAGAGTCGGGTGACTCGGTACAGACGTACCCCAGAATGGCCATGATGGCGCCCGACTGCGGGGGGGGGGGGGACGGGAGGGTCAGTCGGGCGGGTCAGTCAGACGGGATGTTTAGAAGGCTGGGCCAGCCTGAGGGAACGCTCAGGTTCTCGGGTCAGCCAACGGGCTCCTCGTACCAGCTGAAACACTAGACGAGCACGCTCGGATGGAGTAAGTGTATTTGCAACAATACCCACTTGAAACCTTAAAAAAATATAGCACGATCTTCAGAGAAACGCGGGACATTTATTCAAATTAACCCTGAGAATTGAGCTCCAACTTTCCTTGAGCTATTGGAAGAAGTAGAATAACGCCCAACGCAGTAAGGAACCAATTATTTTCACATCTGGCACCAGAGTCTGGCAAGCGTTTGAGTTGTTTTCGCCTCCGATGCCGAACTCACCGCGCCAAGGGAGACGGCCGGGCTGAAGACGAACATCTTGTAGAGGTAGCTGGCGAGGGACGAGGTGAGCGCTCCGCTCAGGTACAGGCCCAGGAACTGTTCCTTCCCCAGCAGAATCACGGCGCCTGGAACGGTCCGGGGTGGGGCAGTCAGTCGGGAGGCGGCGACACTCGTGCTTCGCGGAGGGAAACGTCAGTCGTCTGACCGAACGCAAATGGTGGTCATCCGCTTCACGTGAACATTGTGATACGTCAGCATGAAACGAGGCACACTTCTTTACATATCCTAAACAAATGATCCAAATGATCCTACACATAACATGTTCATTGTTCGCCGTACGGCAAGTCGGCAAGCATTGCGTAATAACGCTCTAACTCCAGCCCATCCCGAGCCGTAAGCCACAAACCCCGACATCGAGAACGCGAGCGGCGAATTCACTCACTGGTGGAGAAGCTGTGCAGCACGAACATGTTGACTGCCAGGTGGATGAACGAGTAGTGGCTGAACCCCGAGAGCAGCATCGGAAGACGGAACCCTCCTGAAAGGAGAGCAAAATGATCAATCAGTGAGGCACAGGGTTACAGTTGGCTAAGCGGTGAAACACCGAGCCATGTTCTGTGTGGTGGCAGCAGTGAGAAAGGACCGCAACATCAATGTTCGGCACTGTGCCATGGTACATACATACATATAGCCACTGGATTTCACTCATTATCGTTGATTGACTTCAAATTAGACATAAGAACTTTGGTGTCCGACCGCGCTCAGAGGCGATAAAAGGGAAAAAATTAACAAAGACTGAGACGCTGGTTTCCTAGTCCACTCTCCAGCTCCAAGAAACTCACGGGACGCTGGGCTCGATGCGAAATAGCGTAGCATGGTGGGCGCCAGACTGGGGATCTTCCAGGCGCCGAACACGAGCACGTTCACGAAGCAGATGGGCCAGAACACCTTCTGTCCCTCCGTCTGGGACGCCCACCAGAGCGACAGCTGCGCGCGCCACTCGCCCTGTCGGAGTCGGAGGATCGTCACGAGTGATCGTCACTCGGCGCACACACTGGCAGGGAGAGATGCGGTAGTGGCACAGGGCAGCCTCAGCGGAATCGCAACTGTTGGCATGTTTGAACATAAAACGGATAGCAAACAGTCTTACAATCAAGTTCTAACAGTCAGCTTCCGTTTAAATTAGGCTGCAACTAACAAGGGCGAGCTGGACTTAATGCCGTAACGATTAAACTGAGTATGCCAATGTAAATAAATCGCTAAGCGTATACGTTCGATAAATAAATCACAAGCTTACTTTCAAACAAATTACGTATCACCGCCTCAGAAGACACTGATCCTGGCAATATAAAGAAAATCCGGCCCGCCCACTGTACTGAAGTTCCGTGCACCCTGCATCATAAATACTGACCCATTTATCTCCTGGCTCGAAGGGTCTGCGCGCCCAGAGCGGGCCTCGCTCCATGTGTCTCCTCATCACGGCTCGTACCTCCTCATACTCCCAGATCACGCAGCCGGCGAAAAACGAGCCGGCGCCCTGAGGACACGACGCGGTGAGGTGAGACGGTGCAGGGAGTCACCAGGGACCCGGGTGGGGACAGCGAGCAGTCACCGGCGGATGGGACAGGGAAAGGCGGAGAGGAGTAGCCAACTTGCGCAAGAGATCAGTCACTGGCAGTGGTCAGATGGGGTGAGAGGTGCAGACAGTGAATGAAATGGAGGGAATAAGTCACATAGCAAGAAAAGGAAGCGGTCACGAATTACGACGGATATTAGAACACTTAACATATTCGCACACATCTAAAAAACAATGCTGATCACCAGAACATTTCTTCGACCACATTCCATGGATAATACATTTGTTTAAAAGCGGTAGGTACCTTATTAAAAAAAATAACATCATGGACCCAATAGGCAGGCATAAAGATGCTCCCAGAGACTGTGACTACCTACCACCACAGTGAAGGCAGTGGCATGTGCGAATTTGCCCCAGGTGAAGGTATTCTGCGATGTGGATGGCTCGACTGGTCGCTTACCAAACCGGGCCAGCAGCCGACCTGAGGGCAGGTCAAGGCAGGGGGCTGTCAGAGTCGGCCATCATAACCGCCAAACTCAGGTGGGTGAGATGAAAAAGAAACGAGAAATGAACAGCCAGCCTGTGAATGAAATGACTGATCTACACTGCAAATAAATTTAAAGCGATTAAGTTGTTCTCCACATAAATTTTTATCAAAAACTATTGCTACAACAAAACATATTCATCACTTAGTTTGCTACATCATACATTGAAGTTATCGTGGAATTATGCTAACAAGGCGTTTTGTTTGTATGGCAGAGAGAGCTGCAGTTGACTGAGATTATTACCTCCAGTGTGAAAGCTTCTGTAGATCTGTCTGTGAGGTGCATTTGATGGGGCTGTAGAATTCACTGCAAGTCGACAGGCTGCAGGCAGAAAAGTCCTGGAATAAAATGTAAATTTAATGTGTTTTCATACAGATGAAAACTGTAGGTATGACTAGCCTATAATCGTCGTAGCGTAAAAGGGGCACGCCATATGTTTTATGTGGCAGTAATTCTAAAATATACACATTTATATGTTCAAGAATTGAAAATTCGCATTTTGGATTATTCTAACCAGTTTCATGCGCATTGCTTTGCCTGTCATAATCCTTCCTTTCAACAAAATTTCGTCCTCAGACCTTTGATTCATTCCCCTCCCCACTCCTTGTCCCATCTAAACCTCGTCTACGCATTCGTATGTGCATAACATCTTCCGTCTGCAATTCGTCTTACGCAATTCTTCCGTATGCCAATAATCATCCGCATTTTTGTAGGTGTAAATTTTCACCTCCGAATATTCGTCAATTCCAGAAAAAAAAACTACCATCTCCAAACCTTCACTACCAATGCTGGCTAACCTGTTCTTACCATCTATAAAAGATTCCAGGACCCAGCGGCTCACTCCCACTGTGATGGTTCAGTGCCTCATACCCTCACTGACCCCACGGCCCACAGGCACTCCCCACTTTGTGACAGTTGGTGTTTGGCAGCTGGTCAGAGTGTACACCTGACCCATATATGAATATCATACAGCACCACATGTGCCATCTTGCACCATACCCATCCCTTGGCCCACAACTGTCACACAGATGACAGTCCAAAAATGGTATGATACAGTCTGCTGCTGGCCTGTTATGTTGTGTTAATCCTCAGCTGAAAGGCATTATGGGTAAACAGATGTGCAGCCAAACAAATATCAAACAAATATATGCACATACATAGATTTTCATACATAATTGGTGAACCTTACCATAGTTTTGACTTTGGGGAATGGGGCGAGCCTACACAGAGCAAAGATGCATCAGTACAAAGATTCAAAGATGAATATTTTTTTTTGTGAGCAAGCACAACTCCTGCACAAGAGGACAAATGTGCATTACTGGTCTCGATATAAGGGTTCCTGTGATCAGTAGTTTCAAAGTGACCCAGCCATTGCCTGTCAAACTGGAACAGAGTGTATCCTGACATGACAGTGAGGGCAAGAATGAGGGTAAAATTGCATCCAAACATCTGGTCATTAGAACCCTGATTTTGAAACTGGTTACGAGCGAGCGAGCGCAGCGAGCGAAGCGAGCGAAGCGAGTCTTTTCAATATAACGGAAAAATCTCAGTATGAGCGGCCCGGCCCGGCCTGTAACGCTTTTGAGAGGCTTATATCTCAGCAACCGCTGGACCGATTGGCCTGCGGACTTTTTTGCTGGGTAGCCCCATCCCTTCTACCCCGTAATTGACTACTTTTGATACATCTCAGTGACCGTCGTGGCACGTGCCACGTGAAAAGTCAAGGGTGTTCAAGCTGTTTTGGAAAAGTAGTGGTTTTGAGAGGCTCATATCTCAGCAGCCGCTTGGGCGATTGACTTGCGGTAATTTTTGTAGGGTAGCAGCATCCCTTCTACCAAAAATAGAATACTCTCGATGCATGTGAGTCACCCCCAGTGCACGTGCAAAATACAACAATAAGAGGTGTCAAATTTGTTCCCATTTTAATAACTCGTTAATTACTGGGGCGATTTTGCTGAAACTTGGCATACAGGTAGGCACCCACCAGGCAATGCATTCCCATGTGTTGCGGTTAAGGTGCTACTGCACGTGCGCACGTGCAGGGGGCGCTTCCAGATCTCGAGAACGGCTGGGCCGATTGCGCTCAAATTTGGTACACGGTTGGGGACCAGTTAGTAGGGTGCCGTGCAAAAGTCAGTTTGAACCCCATTTCCATGTGCGCATATGCAGAATGCCGCTTCCAGATTTCAAGAACGGCTGGGCCGATTGCGTTCAAATTTGGCACACCGCTAGCGACCGGTTAGAAAGGTGCTTTGCACAAGCCCATTGGAAGTACCCTCAAGCCCTTCCGCACGTGCAGGGCTTACTATCTCACTCGCTCGTTCTTCGCCCAAAAGGCGTTTTACTGGTATTTAGTATTACATGAGTAGACAGTAGACACAGGGTTGAAAATGATATATGAATAAAAACTCAAAGGAGATTTAGATGTTTTTACAAAAAGCAACAATGAGATGTGAATAGAATAGGTACAAAGAAATGTGTGAAACAGAATCATCCTATTGAAGAAATGCAAGACAATACGAGATAGGTCAAGGCTCCAAAAACAAAGGAACATAGTGACTAGAAATTTGAGTGAATGCCGCCTACTCCAAGGAGATACAAGTTTAGAAATAAATGACAACTATTTCCTATTCATGCATTAATTATGAAATAGCAATGTGTACCTCAGTAAAAAAACAATAATTTGGCTCAGGTTAAAACAAAAAAATCAATGGTAAAAGCATTAAAATAATTCAGCCTATTTATCGTACCTGCCAATGTTCCTCAGCATCTTGATAGATGATATTTGTTTTATGAATCAGAATGCTCGAAAAAATACGAAACCAAAATATTAGGGTAGAATGATGAAACACTCCTGAGCAGCCTGACAATCCCAATCCGCTTCAGCTTGTATGCGCAAGCTAACAGAACTAATTAGGAACCAAGCATTTGCATTTGATGCACATTACCACAAATATTTTTTAACAGAAAACAACGAAATCATCTCAAGATAGAGTTACATCCCAAACACGGTATATAGAGAACTATCCCAAACAAGGTATATAAAAACACTGATCCCAAATATAGACGGCCTTGCATGCAAAAGGCTGAAAATCATTTATGTAACAGCGGCGCCAGTTTTGAACGAAGCTGACGTCATATAGTTCCAGAAGTATTTCAATTATAAGTCAAGGAATCTCCGGAGGTCGAAGTTATTTTTAAGACCGCAAATTTGTTTTTAAATAATAAATTAATTTATTTGGAAATAAAGATAGGAATGAAACAATGCATTTGTCACTGAAATTATTTTCACAAAATCCCAAAGCCAAGGGCATACTGCGTCGCTTATGCCTTGTTACACTTTTGTGTTCGAAAGCGCTTGACGTTTTACGCAATGCACTGATCTAAGGCGATCCTTCACCGTTCATTGGTGAAAAGTGCTTCCGAATGATCGGCACGCCGGCTGCATGGAAGCACTAGTACACGTAAGTGGTAGGTGTCTGGATGCTTCGAAAACGCACTGCGATTCTGTTATTGTCATCGTCGACGTCGACGTCTGGGGGAGTGGATGTCAGGGTATATTGAGTGACGGGTAGGACGAACTTTGGTAGGAATTTCTAGTATACCTACTAGAATACCTACTATATGTGGTCGGGACTAGCAAAAAGTTAGTTCAAACTAGAATATGGCACGCTTATGGTTGGCAGTTGTGACGCGCACGTGACATTCATTTCTTAAATTTCTAAAATAACAGGTTTTAGGGGCCGATTAGTGGGCAGATACATTCCATTAGCTATTAATAATTGATAATGCAAACATTCAAGAATCTACATCATTCGATTCTAGCCAAAATCACGCGGCGCTCCCAGGATTCGAACTCACGACCCTCGGATCCGTAGCCCGATACGCTACCGACTGCGCTACCGAGGACCGCGCGCCGACGATCGGAGAGGCGGATCGCGGGTGCTGGCGTGCAGAGAAATCTTTACCCTGTACGCCGTAGAAGATCGGCTGGGTTTCGTGAAAAATGGTAGAGGAATTGTCGAAAGAAAATTCATCGATCTATCATTTGAGACTAAGAACCATTGATTCCTTCAAAGGTTGACCGAGATATCGCTCGCTGAAAACAGGCCATTTAACATGTAAACCCTATGTGCTGGTAGGAAATGTACGCCGTGGAGCAGCAGTGCTACCAACTAACTTCGGCGGGGGCCGAGTGGATGTGGTGGAGCTCCGGCTTCTCGCAGTGATTTATATAGTCTTGCATCGCAGTGTCGGCGTTGGTATCGTGGTGTTGAAAGTCTGGCATTAGTTGGTGCTTTGTGCATTTTTTGTGGGTGATACTAAGAGCTTTCTTGATAAGCCCTGGTGAATGCGTTTGCACAGGAAGAACCTTATTTCGGGACAACAAGACTCGTGAAGCAGTTCAAGTCAAGGGTCTTATTTACTTGGTGAGTACTTGGTGAACTTATTTACTTAATGAGTTACTTGGGGAGGTATCTCACATCTCTCCCCGGGGCCGGGACGGCATATGCCATGGAACGGCACCGTCCCGGTCTGGCCAGACGAGCCGCCGTACAAAGTTGAGGTATTGGTATGATGGCACATGTAAGCTACATTTCAAGTTAAATGGTAGTCTGGCAAATAGTATCCAAGATACACCAGTCTGCAAAGGGTGGCAGGGAGCTTGACAAGATTTTCGGGGCAGACAAAATTCTGCCCTGAATCAGGGTGCTGAGAGACCTGGTGCAGCCCAATTATTGTTCCCAAATGGGATAATTGTCCCAGGGGCAGCCCATTTCCCATCTTTTTCTTATCTCTGCCCTGAGATTTCTCAATCCTGCCCCGATTTCTGCCCCGATTGTGAGACCTGCCCCGACGAGATCTCGTCAAAACCTGCCACGTTTTTCAGCCTGGAAGATACAGATGATACAAATTACAAACCTACAAGATACAAACCTTAATCACTGCCTATACCTCACATTACCTACTTCTGCAGTGACCTGTACCTACTCCCCTACTGGCTACTACTGCCCTGTACTACTCTCCCCTACATTGGTAGTTGCAGACTGATACTGATTTCCAGTTTGATTGGTGTGAGCTCAGGGCTAGTAGTTTTCCTTATCCCAATCCTCTCTGGTGCAGCTTGTTGACTGTTGCTGCACTTTGAACTCAAGCTGTGCTGTAGCTGCTCCCCCTGGCTGATCCAGAGAGTAGGTGGGTCAGGATTTTGTGGAGGAGGCACACTTTCCCAAAATTTCATCTTTTTCAGTTGCCAAAAGCCTAGACTTTGGATCTATTAACATATTTTCCTTCACCTTATTGTTCAGATTTTGCTATCATTCTTCAACAAAATTGAAAAAGTTGTCTTGTTCACTTTTATTTTCCTTCTTTTTGTAATTTTGGCTTGTTCACTAAAGTTTTTCTTTTATGTGCTATGGTATTTTACTATGATTTTTTTCTCCTGCACAGCAGAAGGCCAGCTGTACTGATGATAAAAACTTGCAACACTTACCCGAATAATATGTTTCAGAAATTGATGTTTCTGCCCAATGCTGTTAGTTGTACATTTTCTTTCGCATGACAGATTGTTTTCTTTTGCAGGTGCCTATTTCCATTTATATCTCTGCAGTCTCTACAATAGTCTATTTATACATTTTTTGAATAATTTTATTATTTCTACACTCTTTCTGTGATCGACACCAAAGCACAAATACCCCAACATGTCTCTGGCAAGTGAGAGGAACGACATTGAGCTGGATGAGAAGATAAAGGAGCAGCACCGTATCGACTCCCTGAACCTGCTGCTCTACATGATGCTACTCATCACCACGGTGCTCACAGTGTGGATGTTCAAACACCGCCGGATGCGCTACATGCACGAGACCGGCCTGGCGCTGGTGTTCGGTAAGTACCCTAGCGGCCTCACCCGCCTCACCCAAGGCCCTATATACGGCCTCACCCGTTCACTGAGCGTGCTCGGGGGTGGGCGTTTGAAACTCAGGAGTGCTTCATATTCCCCGTCACGTATCGGCGTAAAACACGGCAGTGTTTGTAGAAATTTATAGTAGGTACGTTCCTCTTTAGACAGTGTATAGCTACTGGGTCTCGTAAGTACATGGCACTGATGTTGACCTAGCCACAGGCAGCTCTTCTCTCGGGGGATGAGTAGCTGAACTTTGACGGCTCTTTGTGAACTCATCGGGCTCAGTTACGGACAAATCCTTTAGGTTGGTCTGCACAAAGGTTCTCAAGTCTAGTTGCTACCCGAACAGGATGTTTGATCATCGGCGTATTTTCTTAAATTGCTTGCAAGTGACCATTTGATTGAATAAGCTGTTTGATTTTGTGACACATCCGACTCGAAATTCTTCCATCAAGCCGGCATATGTCACAATCAAGCAGTTCTGGTTGCTGGTTTAGCTTGAAGTCTGACGTAAAAGCTGCATATTGTAAACATTTCGACCGAGTTATGGAGCTAAAAATATGCCCATGGAATGATTCGACGATTACGTAGTTTCGTGTACATTTTATTCACAAAAACATTCCGAGACGGACTTCTGGCTCAAATTCACAGTGCCTAACTGTTTACAGTACTGGTTCCACAACTGTGTGTAGCTGAAGGTCGCGTGGAGTTTTTATGTTGAGTTTGTAAAGGGAGTGCTATAGGGCATAGACTATGATCTATGTCTTACGTGCAATGGGTTCTTGCTTATTTCGGAATTTTCATTCCCTGCTAGAAGGAATCTGTAATTTAGTTATGTGAGCGGCTCGGAAAATTCTGACCTTATGCATGTGCCATTTCTCGGTGCGCTTTGGCGTTACGCCTGGAGACGTTGTATTGTGCACAGCTCTTCAGGAGGGAGTTTTAGCTTAAATGAAGCTAGGCAGAACAGCTTTTCTGCTTTTGCGGGGCTTAAAGCTATGTTAGTGGCATTTAGAATGGACGACTTACTGGGCAGGTATTGAGCAAAGCGCTCTTTTAAAACATTTGGTCTACTACGCTGATGCTTGTTTTAAACTGTCTGGTGCATCCATAGAGATACGCAACACTGCTGTCGGATCTAGGAAGTTCCATATTCCTTCGTACGAGCGTTGCGAAAGGCTCGCCATGGTTTAATCAGTTCTTAGCGCTGGATGCCCCTTTGTGCAGGGATCTGGACAATAGCAGCGATCCCCCCGGCCTTGAGTTATGTTGCTATTTTGCCAACAATAGCGGCTGACGCGATGTCTCTGCTCGTTGTCTGTCGTGTTGATCTGTTTGTCGAATGACCTGCTTTGGGGCTGATGTCGGTCTGTGTATTCGGACATTATCTGACAGTTTGGAATCGTGATATTGGCTTCTCCGAAGTATGTGGCCCATGGCTGGCTGCCTGTCCGACACTGGTCTGTACACATCGTCTGACTGTCCGTCATTATCAGGTGGTATGGGCTGGTAGGATAGCGGGCGCCCTCTGAACGTCTCCCTCTACCCGGCGGCGGGCCTTGTATCGTGCCCTGCGCCGTCTGACCGTCCCTAACCCCCGTCTCAGGTCTGGTGGTAGGCGCGCTGATCCGTTACACATCAGTGCCATCGGCCATCTCTCACGTAGAAGTAAAAGCGGTGTCGCATCCAACCTACAACGGCACGCTACCGCCCGACTACCTCTGGTATCACATGAAACGAAAACGTGAGTACTGACACGGGACAGGACGGACGGGAGGGCACTGTCGACGGGGGGGGGGGGGGGCAGCCAGCGCTCCGGCCCGGCGAGCGGGGCTGGTCGGGGCTCATGTGCGCCGAAACCGGACCAGAACCGGTCCATCGCGACGGTTTACGTCTGGTGATGGCTGGCGGTGCGCCCTTGGGGAGCATCAATGACACGTAATCATCATCAGCGCTGCCGTCTAATTTGGTTGCAAATATGGCTGACACACTTTCGAGTTGATACGATTTTTAAACGAAAAAGTACAGGTATATGATTTCCACCTGCTGTGCGAGAGTCTTCTTACTTGCATGCTCAATCGCCTAATATTACTCTTCATGCTGTTGATATAAAAAAGCGTCCTTGCTGCCTTCCCAACTCTCAAGCTGTATTTTGTTACCACTAGCAGCCCTGGCTTTAGTCATTTGAGAATACTTGA